AGAGTCCCTTTTTATCCTTGAAATATCTGTAAGGTCCTTCATCCCCAATATTTGTAATTTGTCTTCTCTATTGTTTCTAGTCATATTGGTTAGAAGTTCACCAATGTTGTTTATTTTTTTTCTCCCATCTTTTTGCTTTGGATTTAAATAGATTTTTTTCCAGTAACCTGATAATGAAAGCTTAGTTATTTGATTAGAGACCTATATTTGTATTCAATGCTATACATTTCTAAGCGTGCTTTAGCTGCTTCCCACAAATTAGATTGTGTTTTTGTTTTCTTGTAGTTCAAATACTTTCTAATTTTACTCAGTTTCCTTTTTAATACACAGCTTATATAGAATTGAGGATTTTTCAAATGTTTAAATTTAATTTTTTGTTAAATTTTGCTATGACACAAGAGCATGCTTTGTATAACTTCTATTCTTTTTTTTTTAAGATTTAGTTTGTTTTATAGCTCAGAACGTATATGAATATTCTATATGCACTTGAAAAGAATGTATATTTTGCTTTTTTTCTGGTGGGATGATTTTTTTAATGTTACTAGGTAAAGTTATTTGATAATATTGTTTAGGCCTTCTTTATCCTTACCGATTTCCTGTGTAGATTTAAAAGGGGTACCCCCCAAAAAATCCACCAGAATTCCTTTTTTTTTTCAAAGCTATGTATTTAAAATAACCTTATCACCTTCAAAGTATTCCCCATTACACTTAATACATTTTCAAATCTGCAATTACATTCTTAGAAACATTTTTCAAAGTCATCTGTTTGGATGGCTGACAGCACCTTCCTTGTTCTTTTTCCTCACCTCATCTAAATGGTCAAATTGCTGTCCTTTCATGCCCCTCTTCATTCTCCGAAACAAAAAGAAGTCGCATGGAGTGAGGTCGGGTGAGAAAGGTGCATGGGGCAAGAGAGGCATGCTGGGTTTTTTTGCCAAAATCTGGTACACTAAGATGACTAGTTAGCAGGTGCATTGTCGTAGTGGCAAAACCAGTTGCCCATCTGCACACAACATGCCTTTTTAGTCACACACTGTTAGGCAACCTTTTTAGAACCTCTAAATAGAAGGTTTGACCTGGTGTGATGAACTCCAAATGCACTATCCCCCTCACATCAAAAAAACAAATGAGCATCGTTTTGATATGTGATTTCACTTGATGAGCTTTTTTTGGGGTGAGGTGATGATGGCATCTTCCACTGGCCTGATTGATGCTTCCTTTCATGGTCTTAAGAATAGCATCATATCTTCTCACCAGTAATGACCGTGGGGGAAAAAAGTGGGTTGCTTCAGGGCTGTTTTTTTTCTTCAAAGTACGGCAGGTTTCCACTTGGTTTTCTTTATCCTGGTCAGTCAGAACCTGAGGTACAAATTTCACAATGATCCTTCTCATTCCCAAATCTTCCATTAAGAACCAAGCTCCAAGATAGCCCAGGTAATTTCCCCATCTCTTCATTGGCCCTTAGTCAGTCTTCAAGCACAAATGTATGAATTTTGTTGACGTTTTTGCCCATTTGGGAATTTGATGGACATCCAGAACAAGGTTTATCATCAATCAACATCTCACTTTTTTTGAAACAAGAAAACCACTCACACATTAGAGTTTTTCCCATAGTGCTGTCATTGTAAGCTGTGTTCAACATCAGAACAGTTTCTG